ATATACTATATATATTACGCACATTCCTTTACTGCGTTCACGTTTGCTATATATGTAAATACATATACGTACGTGAGAGAGAGTGTGTATGTGTGTGTTTTCATTTGTATGAGTGTGTGTGTGTGTGCTCTGGAATTTGAGTAAGTTCCAGCTTTGAGCTTTGACAAGCTCATGTTGTATTTCTGCTTCTTCTTATACTTCTATGCCTTCCTACTTCATTATCTTTTTCGCTTTTTCAGGCTCCGTTTTTGTATACATACCTCTTCTTCTTCTTCAGTTTCTTAAGACCCCCTTTTTCATCCTCTTCGTCGCCTCCTTCCTCTTCCTGCATATATTTATTTTGTTCTCTTCCTTATCCTCTTAGTCTTTTCCTTGTTTCTCTAGTTCTTTCCACTTCCACTACTTCTACTTAACTATCCATATCCGCACTTATCAAGTCTATTAATATCTCGAAAGAAAAAACAACTTCACACTACAATAATGAAACAGAATTTGCATCAGGCGAAACACAACTACAGTGAAGCTTCCCAAGCTATAATAAATGGTTGTATATGATGTTGAAACACTTTGAGCTACTCAGATTGGAGATTGTTTGGATCATCGGGAGTTACTGTACTACCCACATATATGATGAAACCCAATTCTTGTATTTGTATATGTGTGTCTATATCTATGTCCATGTCTGTAGTCTATATCTTGGTCAGATTGATATACGGATGCAAAAGTGAAAAGTTAAAAGAGCTTTTCTTTGTTTTCTCATTGGGGCTGGGAAATGCTTTGGCAGCTGCCTTTGTCTGTGATTCGCGTTTGCTTGTCGGCCTTAGTCAATGGCATTGTCTAATAACGTTAGCAAACACTCTTTCTTTTTAGACAAACAATAAGCACGCACACACATGCTCACACACACACACACACACACACACCTCTAGTTAGACTCTGTTGAATTTTGAAAAAATTTCTAGGCTTTGCCGCTCGCTCGGGCAATGGGCAAGTCATGTTGCTGCTGCTGCTGCTGCTGCTGCTGTTGTTATGACAATTTGGCAGCATGATATTCATTTTGCTGTGCTTACAGTGAGGGAGGGGCGGAGGGGGCGCTGGGCTGGCCAGGGGTCAAGCGGGCGCTAGACAAGCGGGGCGTGGCAGAAGGCACAAGGCACAAGGCCAGGATCGGTCAGTCATTGTGATTCCCATTGTTTGCTATTGCCGGTGTCAGCTGTCAAGCTGAGGGAAAGAGAGGGAGCGAGTGAGATAGAGCGAGAGAGCGAGTGTGTGTGTGTTTGAAATTAACATTTCATTTGGCTGCCATTTCTTTCTTCTTGGTTATTTTGCTCTCGCTTCATCAATAAATTTTTGCCAACCCCAAAGCACACACAAAATATTTCCATCATTTTTTCATCTATTTTTTATTTATTTGTATTTTTTTTTTTTCGTTTGATTTGTTGTTTATTTTGTATGCATTCTTTTGCAATAAAAAACCATTACATAGGCAAATATGAATGTCGAAAAAGAGTGGAGCTGGAAGTGGAAAAAACTTTGCCATTATAATTACAATATATAAAAAAGCATCTGACGTCAAATATTTTGCGCTATTATTCATGAGGTTTTCTCCTCATTTATAAAGCAAAAAAACCATTTCGATTGTCGCGTAAATAATTTCACATGCGAGGCTATCTAGGGGCAGAGACAAGCGCACAGGCAGGGGGTGTGGCCATAAATTAAGTAAAATGTATGGAAAAGTGTTTGGCGGAAAAGCAAACGATCAAAATAGTCGAAGCGAATGCCGATGCGATGCGATGCGACGCGATGCACTCTGCTCTGCTCATCTCATTAAATTGGCCATGACTGTTTTGGGCAAACATGAGCCTAATTGGCTAATAATTCATGAATATCGATTTATAATTGATGACTAGTCTATGAGCACCGATAGGCGGATGAAAGCCACAAGAGATGAATATATACATACATATGAATTTTGACTGAGCACAAACTATGACTATCGATTTGCATAGATATCGATTTATCGATTTTTAGATTTGCATAGATATCGATTTATCGATTTTTGGTTTTTGGGTAATGGGATAAAGTAAGCAAGTGAATAGAAATGTTATCGACAATTCGAAATTTCTACTCTTTAGACTGAAGGATAACGATAACTATGGGTTGATCGATAAACTGTTGCAAAGAGTGTGTAAAGGTTCTCTTAGTTACCTTTGGTTCTTCAGTTGGAAAAACAGATCGACTATTGTCAATATCAAAATGAGTGCTTTTTAATACATTTAAATACACATTAATCAATTGAATAATTAACCCATTAATATTCTCGAAAAGTGGATTGGATTGGATTCTTAGTTATAGAATTGATACGATCAATTCAAGGAATAGCCCTTGAGAGCGCGCTTTATGAAACCAGTCCCTCATCCGTATTAAATATACACATATGTATGTATGTACATACATATAATACAAATGTGTGTGCTACAAAGGCATCGTAAGGGCTTCCCTCCTACCCACACCTGAAGCACACCTGAGCGTAAAGTGAAAACTTACAGCCAACTCATCTGCATACCTACATACAGACAAAGCACACACATGTATGCGTATATGAAGATATGCGTGGGGCGGGGAGTAGGCGTGGTTGTTGACTGAGGCAGAATGCTATTTTACACAACATATCGCGCTCGTAAAAAATAATATAACTACATACATGCGCGTTTACTACCCATTTAAAACGCAACTTCTGCTGAGCCACCCACCACCGACCGCACCCCATCCCCCACCCCCATCCCCCATTCTCCACCCCCTCAGTCAACCCAATCCCCCAAGCCTCAAGCCCCAAACCCGTAGTGAAAGTTTGGCAAGCAGCGCAGTCGCTGCCTCAGCTCCACCTGCTCCTCCCCCTGCTGCCGCGCCTCCTTCGCACTAGGCTAACTGCTTTTCCACGCATAAGCGCAATTCTAAAAAATTAATGTCGCTTTCGTAATTTCAGCACACAAAAAAACTGCCGACGCTGGCAGCGCAGCTGGCGTAAGCGCCAACAACAGCGTCAGCGACAGCAACAGCGACAGCGAATGTCTTAGTTAGCGAGAAAAAAAGGAGGAAGAAGAAGAAGCAGCAGCAGTAGCAGTTGAAAAAAAAAAAAACATTGCAGCTCGCTAGGGGCGAAAAAATGGGGTAAGCAAAAGCAAAAGTAAAGACAGCCAGCCGCGGCGACATGCGTGACAGCGACGCCGGCAGCGACGTCGGCAGCGCCGGCGACACTCACTTAAAAATTCGAATGTTATAGAAAAATGAGCAAAGCGCAAAAAAAAAAAAAGTAGCAGCGCGGCGAAAAAAAACGGCGAAGTGAAATTACATAAAATGAAAAGTTCTCGTTACGCGGAGCAGTTGTTAAACCAGCCAGCAGCTCTCTGCTACCCCTCCTCCCGCCACGCTAAGCCCCCCTCCCCCCTGTCGCCTCCCTACGCAGAGTTGTTGTTGCTTTTGGCTGCCTGCTGCCCGCTTCTAATGCTCATCTCTTTCTAACTCGGGAATGTCGACAGAGCAACCTCGGCGATTCGCTCGCCTTTTATATGTATGTGTATGTATGCACGTGTATATGTGTGTACGTGTGCGCTGCATGCCTGTATGTACGTGCGTGTGTGTGTGTGTGTGTGTGTGTGTGTGTGAGGAAGGCACCGCGACTGATTACTACTTTTATTGCTAGCAAATATCGTACTTTCTCTTCAAGGTGGATACGGCATGTACTCGTAACCCCTCCAAATAAGTAGTGTGCGTGTGTGTGTGGGTGAGTGTGTGTGTGTGTGTGTGTGTGTGTGCTTAGCTTTTTTGCCAACTGGTAGAGCCGGAGCGGAGTGTCGCGGGGGAAGCTGTTGTAACTTGCGCGGAAACAAGGTTTTTATTTCAACATTTCTTTCTATACTTTTGCACTTCGTTTCGCTTTTTTCGTCTCTTGAAATTTTTGCTTTAGATTTTGCTGCGCGAGATTTTTTCAAGGGTGGTTTATATGCATGTCTGTGCGTGCCTCTGTCTCTGTGTGTGTGTGTGTGTGTGTGTGTCTGTGTAGTTGCGACTTGGCTGTAGCAAAGCCAGCTGAGACTGAGACGATGGCAGACGTCGTCGTCGTCGTCGTCGTCGTCGGTGCGTTGTAGTTGTATTATTTTCTTTTTTTTCTGTTTTCAATTTTCTGACGTTGATGCTGGCGTCGATGCCGCCGTAGCTCTTCTGCTAGGTACAGCCCAGGCACCCCCGCTCGCCCCCTTCGCCCACTCCTCCCGCTCGCTTACACACACGCACATACAGCAGCATCTTCATCTTCGTTTGCAGTTCTAAATTTTTTCATTTTTTAACTACGTGTTCGTAGTTAAAAAAAATAAACGAAAGAAAAATCTCATACATATTATGTTTTATGGTGGCGGCTTGTTTAAGTGTGTGTGTGTGGGGGTGTGTGTGTTGTAAATTGTTGTGCCATTCTGTTATAATGCTGAGGCTGAGGCTGAGGCTGAGGCACTGGCAGGATAAGCGGAATTGTAGTGGAAAAAGGTGCTTTTTAGGCGCAATGACAACGCCACACAGACAGACGCCAATACAAAGCGTACACTGAGCAAAACTGAGTTGTGGATAGGGGAGATCATATGGAATAGTCGGCTAGGCGATGATTAGTTATACATGAGGCAGAAGGGCATAATAATGGGCTATAGTTCGCAATTGATATAGATATTTGACATCTCTCTCGATATTGCTAAATACTTTCCCTACCCGCTGGGGGGAGTAGGGGAGGGAGGTGGATGCCTATATCCTTCCATACAGCCTCCTCCTGCATTATCCCAGGTCAGGTTTGTACCCCGTGTGCTCCCTAGCTCCATAGGGGATCGACATTAGATTTTTGCAGTGACTCTTCCCCTAAGTCCGGCAACTCTGTTACCCCCCTCTGCTCTCTACTTGTATATTTAAAGAGAAAGCGCAATGTTTTCAGTCTTTCGGAGTCTCTTCGGAATTTCGCTCAGTGTATTTTTGGCATTGCCCAGCCACTAAGTACGGGTACTATATATACATATAAACATGTATAAAAAAGCATTCAAAGAGGAGAAGAAGAAGCAACAACAAAAAAAAAAAAAAAAACGACAACTTCAGTAAAGTTTAGAAAATAAAAAGCACACACACACACACACACACACACACGCACATAGACACACAACCCTCTGCCGAGGGTTGCAATATTTCTTTTGCATTGCTAGCGGCAGCTGACGTCGACGGCGACAGCAACAACAACAGCAACAGCGACGGCAGCGCTGGTAGCGTTGTAGACGCCGGAGACCAGCTACAGCCAGGGCTTTGGCATTAGTTGTTGCTAGTAGATGTCAGGTGGGGGCAGTCGAGGGGGTGGGGCTGGGGCAAATACACATGCATATTGCGTACGCGTGTGTGGGTGTGTATGTGTGTGTGGCATCCTTTTATATTTAAAAATTCTCATTTCAATGTCTAAGTTCGCAGGGTAGCTACCCCCATACCCCCACACCCCCATACTCCCACGCTCCCCTAGCTCGACACACCTCCGTTTGCTCAAACATAACATACTTATTATTACTTTTAATTTAGAATTCGCGTTCGCTCTCTCTCTTTCTCTCTCTCTCTCTCTTTGTTTTGTGCATTGTTAGAGAACAGCGACTGCTGTTGCTGCTCCCTTTCGAGGAGTTGCGATTAGTTTTGGGGCATGGGTTATACAAAGCGAGAAAGAAGAAGCAGCAGCAGCAAAGACCAAAGAAAAACGAAAGTTGAGTGCATACAGTGGTACGAAGTGCTCGGAAATGGGATTGAGTTGCTATGGACGATTTCCCCTATGAATCTAGATATATATAGCTAACTCTTACAGTCGAAAGCTCACAGATCCTTAGTAATGATGTGTAGTTAGAGAGGACCCTCTACTACATGCTAAGAGTACCTCAGAAATACCTCAGAGATGATTGAGATAGATTCAGAAAAGTCAAGGATTATCAAATGTACCCAACTTGATGAATCTATCAGACACATCATTACTAAGGGTTGAGGTTTCAGTTTACATCTCGGTTGTATCTTCATAAATGATAAACTCATTCGAAATGATTTACCCGATATTTGGATATTTATAGAGCTATTAAAAATGTTCAAACTCAATTTCCTTTTCTTAATTTTTCCATCCAGGTCAAGCAATACTGAGGCGTCAATATTCTATAATCATGTATGAAAACTGATCTCAATGATTCCCAAAAGTGGAAGAAATGCTTTGAGTGACCTTGAGCGAGATTGCATAAGAGGAGGAGATGAGGCACTCTGCAGAACTACCTCAAGTAACTCTCTAATGGGCGTAAGTTCTACTCATGCAAGACGAGACTACAAATATATATGTACTAGCACGTAAGAATGTCTTTAATGCGTCTTCGGAATTCCTCCAAATCCAACTTAGTTTCGCGCTAACAACTCAAGTCTATAATACACTAATACCCTGGATTTGCTTAGATCGGATAATATTTGCCTGTCTTTCGAATTAAATTAATACATACGCACACGTTTATAAATATATATATATAAATATATATTCAAGTGTATATGTTTATATAAATGCGACACAGAAGGCGAGAGGTGGGCGAGGGGTGCGGGCCCAGGCCCAGGCATGGGTCGAATTCGTAGGTAGCGGTAAACGACGGCTCCCATAAAACATACAAATGGCCAAATAAAACATTTTAAATGTAACAACAACAACAGAAGAAGAAGAAAAAAAGAAAATAGTATTGTGCTTAGAGGAAGAAGAAGAAGAAGAAGGAAAAAAACGAGATGCCAACACAATGAAGCTAAGGCAAGAATGGGAATTGAAAAGCAGGCAAACGCAAACGCCAGCAGTGCGCGGTGAGGTGAGGAAGTAGGAGAGGAGTGGGAAGTGGGAAGTGAGGAGTGGGGAGTGCGGGGGAGTAGTGAGACGAAGCAAGGGTAGCTATAAGCATTAGATACATTTTTTATGCCGACTCGTTAGCTGGGCCATGGCTCAAGCTGAGCTCAGAGCGAGACTAGAGATCAAAACTGGACTCGCAGCGTGTGCAGTCAATGCAGGCCGAGTCTGTCCGTCCGCTCAATGGCATACGCAGCGTATGAGTTATTTTGGCACAGCCACAAAAGACGTTTCACTCGCAGCCAGATGGGTGCCTAGGCTATTCACTGGGGGTCACTATTTGGCGCTGCTACGTGCCTTCTCCACATGTCTCCCTCTCTCTCTCTCTCTCCCTCTCTTTCTCTCTCTCTCTCTCTTTCTCTCTATAAGTGTATATATATATATAAAGATCTACCCTGCAGCTATTCGTATGTCATGAACTGAGCGAGGGGGCGGCGCATTGCTAAGCGCACAAAAACTTAGAAATAATCACCGACATAAATCTTAAAATGCCTGTCTGCCCCAATGCCGCTGCCGTTACCGTTACCGTTACTGTCACTGTTACCGTTACAGTTGCCTGTTGGCCGTTACCTAACTACTCGACAATCTTTTGTTGTAGCTGTGTACGTGTGTGTGGGTGTGTGTGTGTCTGTGTGAAGGATAAAAACAACAACAACAAGCACAATAGCAAGCAGCTCTCAAGCATCTAAGATGCTCTGGCCAGTGTGTGTGTGTGTGTGTGTGCTGGTGTGTAAGGGTACGGGCTTTGCCTGCAGCTTGTGGCTAGAGAGGGGTGGAGAAGGGGGGGGGGGGGTCAAATGAAAAATAACTTAGAAGCACGTTTTGTGGCATTTTTCGTTTTGCTACGCGTCGCTTCCGCTGTTGTTGTTTTTGCTGTTAGTGCTGCACATAGTCGCAAGACGAAACAACAGAGGCAGAATCAGATACACAAATAGAGAGTGTGAGGGAGATAGAGAGATAGAGAGAGAGAGAGAGAGGCTGCGATAGAGGCAGAGAGGGAGAGTCAAGAAGGTGCTGATGCTGATCCTATAGCCAGGGAAAAGTTTTAACTACTTCGATTTTAGGTTTTAGCCAGCTGTATCTATGCAAGCGTATCTACATATATCTGTATTTCATACTTCGACCCGTATCTGTTTTCAGTTCTATCTCTATCTCTATCTCTATCTGTATCTGTATCTGCATGCAGCTCTTTGAGGCACGTGGCAATGGGGCTCGCGCAGTCGGCGATCGGGTGATCGCATTCAGCAGCTGATTCAATAATCGGCTAAGCGGGCTCGAGCTTCAACTAAAATGTGGCTATAAACAAAGCGAGCTTCTCCCTGCTCTGCCTCCCCCGCCACCTCTAGTGCTCTCGCATGTTCGCGTTTCATCAGCAAATATTGAATGTGTGCTGGGTTTCTCTTTGTTTCTTGTGGGTTTTTTCTTTATATTTCTCGGCTTGCCCAGCTTTGCACAGGCCTTTCTCTACAGCACCCAAATGCCCCCTCTCCAGTCGCCCTCGTTGACACTTGCGTAAATCGACTGTTTGCCACTTTGTCAATAATTGAATGCACTGCAATGTGCATTGAACCCTTTCGTCCAAGGCCAAGGCAAAACAAAGGCAGGCAGGCAGCAGCAGAGCACAGCACATCAGCAGCTTCAGCAGACATCTTCGACCGACCTGCTCTACCAAGTGCTTAGAAGTCCTTCGGGAGCTGGACCCTTCTGGGCTGGGGTATTTACAGGGTATGTCTCACACAGCCTACACCTTGCCTTAATTATTGACCAGCTGTATAGTAATCAAGTAAATGTAGTTGCTATTCGCGGCGGGCTGAGTGGGAGGGGAGGCGCAACGAAATGTATATTTATAGCGGAAAATCCGAAGCGGGAGCTTTTGGCAGGCGACTTAGAAATCTAAACATGAAACTTGCCAAACTTCCGAGATAGGGGACCAGGGGCAGGGCAGTAGTACACGGCTGAGGTGTGGGGGTGAGGCCAGCCCAGGGCCAGGAGCGAAGGTCCTGCCGTTCCAGTTGCTGGTCGCAGTCAAGCGCAGCGGCTCCGCAGGCAACACAGCCGCCGACCTGCGGTAAGGGTGAAGGTGGGGGACACTCTGGTCTGCTCTGGCCTGGCCTGGCCTGGTCTGGTCTGGTCTGGCTGGAGGGGTTGTRTCAGGGGCGGCTGCTGGAGCTTGAGGTAGGCGAAGGAAGCCACGCGGAGGGCGATGGGTATTTTGGCAGTTTTGTTTTTGGACTGCGTAAAACTTACAGCAACAGCATCTGCGACTATTTTGCTAATGCTGTCGCTGCTGGCGTCGGCGGCGCTGTCGCTGCTGCTGCCACTGCCGCAGCTAGCTGCTCTGTCGCAGCACTAACTCCCCGAACGTTTTACATAAATCTTCTTTTCAAAAAGAAAAAAATAAACACTAATGCCAAGGCAAAGGCAAAGTATAGAGTAAAAGGGAAAAAAAAAAAAAAAAAAAAACAAACTAGAAAATTTAGTATCTACACACACACACACACTTTCATACACAAAGGTACACACACACACACACAAAGATATATATATATATATATAAACATTCTGTGATGCGCGGCAAAAAAAGGAAAATTTTTTATTACAGCGAGAAAACTTAATGGCTGCTGGAACAGGAGGAATGAATAGATGAACGAGGAGGTAGCTGGCGGGGGGAGGGGGTAGCCGGCTTTGGGGGTGGGTGGCTTAGGTAATAGGAAAACGGAGAAGCGAGAAGCGAGCGCAGCAAGAAAAGGGAAAGGGAATGAGAGTTAAAGACGTTCAACAGCCGAAGTCGACGACGACGAGGACTTGGACAAGGACGACGCCGACGACGACGACGACGATGACGATGACGGCGCCTCGTGGTAAACAGCGTTGCGTAGGCGCGCAAGCGTTGGGTTTGAGTCTGGGTCTGGGTTTGTGCTGGCTGGGAAGAGGGAGTGAGGGGCTGGGCTGGTTGTTGAGCCTTATCCCGGCAACGGTAAAATCATCGTTTGATTTCGTCTGTGCCAGAAACATTATTTATAGAGATTTCTGCAGCAGAAATTCGCTCTGATTGGGGCCGGAAAGGGGTGTCAAACTATGGGCAAAACTATGGCTAAGACATTGGCTACAGTGGCGCATCGATACAGCAAGCAGACAAAGGAAGAGAGAGAGAGAGAGAGAGAGAGATAGAGAGAGAGAGCGAACATTAAAGTTACTAACGGGAGAAGGAGAAGTATGCTACATTAGAGAGTTGTGTACAGTGAGTTGTCGAAGGATTTGACAGCAGCACTTCAACTACATAGGGATGAACCTTCTAGATAGCGAAATGAGTTGAAGAGGAACGGGAAAGGGCTGGGGGCATTCAATGAACTAGTTCAGCCGGCAATTGTATTAGGCTGATTAGTTCATAAGCGACTCAATAGAACATATGCATCGATCATAGACGATCTACTTTCATGTATTTCATGACGTGAGAAAGAACTATTTCAATCGAACTTGTGGAACTAGTTCATCACATTGAGTTGGCTAATCAAATTCCACTAGCTCTATTTAACTATTTAGCTAGTTTATCAAGCTACAAGAGATCCAACTTGCTCTCCAATACGAACTAGCTCATTAAATTGAACTAGAACTGGCCATCAAGACGAGGGCATCGCGATATACCCACTTACCTTCCGCCGTTTGCCTGGCATCAGCTTAAGCCTCAGCTTCGGCAACGTCTTGTACGTTCATTGATTTCGTGGCAGCTGATGGTGAGTGGGGAGTGGAGAGTGGGGAGTGGGCGGGGGCAAGGTGGGCAGCTGGGGCGCCTGGCCATGGCTTTGGGGGTGAATTGTTGTCAGCTGAGTGGCTGTGCTTCGATGTCTTGGATGTTGCCTGTCTTAGCTGTGGCGTCTGAGTAATTGGGTTTGGGGCTCGCTGCTCTAAAATTTGTAGTTCGTTAACGCGCGCGCTTACTTGTTGTTGTTGTTATTGTTGTTGTTGCAATACGATTCGATGCCATTTGCCAATTTTCCTACCAAATTTCCTTATATTGATACATTTTATTTATTTTGCTTTTCGGTTTCACTTTGCTCTTGTTGTTGTTGTTGTTGTTCGTCGTCTGTTGTTGCTTCTGCTTCATCTTCTTCTTCTTCTTCCTATTGTTGTTGTTGTTGCTATTGCCTTTTTTAAATTTTATTTCTCTATATTTTTACGATGCTGGAAACTACCCTTAATGATGCCGCGGAAGCTGCTGCCACTGCCACTGCTGCTGCCGCTTTTCTTTTTATGCGTTCGTATATCTGCCTCTATGGCTGTGTGTGTGTGTGTGTGTGCGCGTGTATGTGTGTTGCGCTGCTGTTGCTGCAAGTTGTTAGCTGGCAAAGCCAAAAATACCGCTGATCATGCGCTTAAAGTAGTTTTTTAAGGCCCCACGTTACATATTTCCTTTACACACA